TGAATAGTACGAGCCGAGCCGACGAACCGTTCGGCACGATTGACATCCCTAACTTTTTGCCACTGCACAAAAGTAAAATAGTACTATGAAGTGCTACGCCACGGTAACGGCAAGTGCTTATTTGATTTTAATTATTTGATAATCACTTTTTTACAACATTAATATTCAATTAAAAATATTTTTTCTATTTAAATTTTTTTTTTTTTTACTTTTTAACCACACATTCGAAAAAAAAAAATTATAGAATCATTTTTCATAAATTCTTTTTTCAAAAAACTACTAAAAAAATGTGGTTTTAGAAGACGCCGGGCAAAAAAAGTACTACTTGTCAAAAAAAGGCGTGCGTTAGGTGGTCAACTTAAAGTTGGCAGTTTATTTTCTTGCCTCGACACAAGGCAAAAAAAAATTTCGATAACCTAAACGTGCTTAAGTAGAACCTAACATTTATCGTGTGAGAAAATAGAGTACAGTGTAAAAAATTATGGATGTATAAATATATGTTTCATGGTCACATTCGACATAGCCACCTACGGATCTAGCACTCGACGAGCACCGATGACCACTCGTGTTGGATTAGTAAAAAAAAAAGGGTTTTCCTTATATTGGGAAGTTGCTCACCTCTTATCTTAGATTCGCTAGTGGACGTAGCCCATAGGTAACGATTGAGAAATTTGACTAGAGCAAATCTTAATTGAAGTCTAAAGACGTGGTCTTTTCAATTATTTCACGTCTTATTTTTAATAAAATTATTTATATGGTCGTTATCAATTCATTATTAATAAAATATACCGATAACTTCAAAGTCGATGAAAAAATTCCAAATAAAAAAATTGCACAAATAAACTAACAAACACTACTTTTATATAATAAAAATAAAAAGACGAAAAAGAAAAGTTTATTGGAAAGACTCGACACTAAAATATTGATGATGCTTATGTAATTGTAGAAAATACTTTATTTAAAAAATAAATCAATAGACAAATGACAATGTTCAGAAAATACATCAAATATCGAAACAATCAAACAAACGTACTCAAACTCAAATGATGTTTCATTAATTTTATTTAGGCCCTATTTGGGAGGGATTAAATTTTTCTATAGTAAATCAATTCATATTTTCAACCACACATTCTTCAATAAAATAATATTTTTCATCACATCAATAATTTTTTCTTCTTTTTCAACCACGCATTTTCCATCATATCACTATTTAAAATCAATTATTTCCCCAAAAATCTCTCCCAAACAGGCTCTTAAAGCGGAACAAATGTCGTGCCACTGAATATGTACAAGGGCGACATTTTCAACAAGAAGAATTGGACAATCTTCCGAAGGTTAAATTAAATTAGCATCAAGTATAAAATTCAAACCTTTTATATCACATCGACATGAGAATTTGATTGTATTTTTAAAAAAAATACATTATTATTTACTTAATCCATCGAAATAGTTGTTAGAGTTTTGTTTGGCCGTGTCGAAAACTTACATTTTTTTATGAAATTTTATTTTTTTAAAAATAATTTTGTTAGTAAAAGTATAACTCTATAAAAAATTCCGACAAAATGGTAATTTTAGGAAATTACAATTGGTGTCCTCAGCTCATTGGAAATGTAGCAAGTCGGTTCTCAACCTATTATTTTGACGGCTCTAATGCAACTTTATAATTTTGTAGCACTTGAATCCTCAATGGATTATCTTGTGATTAAAAACTCAATATTTATTATAAAGGTGACGTTTACACTTATATTTAACCAAACAAACAAAAAAGGGAAGAAGGAAAAGAAAACAAAAAATAAGATTATTTGTTGGCGGTTGGAGGTGAATACGGGAGGTAGAGTGAGTTAAATCTGAATCATTATAACTTTGACAGTATCACATATATAATATTAGAGACACTCGTTTACATTTAAAAATATCACTAACCTTTCATATTTCTAGATTTATGTATCACATAGATCCTAATCACTTTTTTAAGTTATACATAGTATGAAATGATGCAATATGCTCTTAAAGAAAAATATGAGTTGTTTTTTACAATTTTATTTTTAAAGTAAACTATAAAAATATAAATTGACATGTTATAGAGAGAGCTCATTTGACGAAATTTAAATTTTAATCAATAAATTTACTTATTGTATTTATAAGCGGTATATATATATAATGGATAATATCATTTTTTTTTTAAATATTGCAATTATTAATATATCAAACTTAAATCATTCATTACCAAAATTTAGTGAAAATTTTAATGAATTTTTTGGGGAAAATAAGTTTTGGAATAGTGTTTTTTTTAGAGAATATGTGATTAAAAAGTATAAAAAAAATTTAAATTTACCTGCAAAATATTCTATTGTGTGAATATGTGGTTAAAAATGAGTTTGAGAAAAATAAACAAACAAGGGCTTATATAGTTGTGTACACGTAAATTTTTTAACTATTAATGAATAATTACATGAAATAAATTAAATTATAATTAATTGTAAAAAATAATATTTACATTACAAGGACATTTTGAGAAAATCGATTTTATTTTAAGCACCTGTTCGATGATGTTTAAAATCAGATTTGTAATAAATTTTAATAAAAGTTGATGAAATGTGTGATTGAAAATTTGTTGAACATATAAAATATGTTGTTAATATCAATTATTGACTTTGATTTAAATCAAAATCAAAATTAATTTATACCAAATAGGGATTAAATAACATTACTCATATAGCTCAAAAAAATGATCAATGGTGTTTGTGAATTAAGGGTCCGTTTGATTGTAATGGTAGAAAATGGGTGGAAAGAAAATGAATTATAAGAAAAATAATTGTCTAAAAAATGTTTTGCGGGGAGTTGTTAATTAAGTGTGTTTGATTGGTATAATTTTTCACCCGAAAATTTTTTAAATTTTGAGTTTGTTTTGTTTTGTTTTACATGAAAATTGTCCATTAAAGAGATTTTTTTCTACAATTAGTTATAAAATTTGTTTCCATTGTCAAAAAGTAAAAAAAATAAAGGAAAAATTTTTTTTCCTAAAAAAATCATTTTTTATCAAAATTTAGTGTTCGTTTGACTTTGTTTTACATTGAAATTGTCTATTAAAGTGAATTTTTTTTTACATCTGATTATGAAATTTGTTTTCATTGCAAAAAATAAAAATAAAAAATTCCAGAACCTGAAATTCAGTTTTCCCAAAAAAAGGTAGGAAAACACTTTCATCATTTGGGTGGAAAACCAGGCGCGTGGGTTCAAAGGAGGAAATCATTTGGGTGGCAAAATGTTGTCCATCAAACACTACCAAAAGTGGAAAATGGAATTTTTCCATGAAATTTAACCTCTATCAAACACTACCTTTAGAGGGTGTTTGGTGGAGATTAAAATTATATTTTTAGTAAATTGTGATAAAATTTTTTGAAATGTGTGGTTGAAAAGAGTTGAGGCCTATGAAAGACATGATTAATATTAATTATTTGACTTTAATTTAGATTAAAATCTGATTTTAATAAAAAACAAACAAGGCCTAAAAAGAGAAAATGTCACCGATATTTTTGAAACGTGATTTGATATTTTTGATATCAGAAATGTGAGGATATTTTTTATGCGAATAATGTCATTCATAGCGAGAACTATCGATAGTCGTTTCTATATGACCTGTAGAGGTTGTTTGGGTGTGGATCTTGGCTTTCCTGTTTCTCTGGTGTCTTGAAATCCTTGCTTTTTAACCGCCCTTTCTCCGTGATTTCGCCGGGGGGTGGGAGCTTCGACTCCCCCCTCCTTTTCCGGTTTTCTTTACTGTTTTTTTTCCTGTTTCTCTGTTTGGGTTCGGTGTGTGGGGGCTATTTTTGGACGGTTTGTTTTTGGTTGTGGGGGTGTCCAGAGGCAGGTCGCGTGTTGTGGCTGTGGTGTTCGAAGGTGCTCCAACGGGGGGAAGGGACTACGTTCCGGCCATCATACCAGTGTTTTTTTAGGGTTTTATCCGGACAGGGTTGGTGGGAGTCCGTCTCCTTTGGGTACTTCTTGCACACGGCTGGAAATCCGGCATTTGTGGCTGATTTGTGCCAATTCTCAGTTGTTCATCCGGGATTTATGCTAATCTTTGTTGTTATTCTGGTTGCCTGGTGATTGGTTTGGCACGAATCATGGAACGGGAGGTGATTTCTTCGCACTCTGCTTCTCTGCCTTGTAGCCTCCGCTCGAGCCTTGTGTTGTTCTTCAGGTTTGGGCCTGCTGTGTGGATTGTTTTGGGCTTTTGGTGTTGTGCAGGTCCTTGGCTGGTTCTGGCCCAATTTGGAGTTTATTTGCTTTTGTGTTGGTTGCTTGC